TGGGAAAGGCATTCATCCAGTGGTAGATTGATCATGGCTGATATTGATGTACACTATAGGTGGCAATTACTACATTGAGTAAGCCATATCTAGATGCTTAAGTTGCAACATTACGTTTTGCCTGACAAGCATGGTGAAAATGTTCAATCACACTCTTGTTGTACATAGCTCAAAGATCAGGGGTAGTACATAAGTTATCATAAATAAGGCAGGTTAAAATGAAAATGTTACATCGGGGAAAACTGACTGTAAGACAATTATTCAAGGACTTTATAAATGGGTAGTTAGTTACAGGAATGTGAACAAAGTGTTTCAATGCAACTTAATTTCAAAGCAACTGAGTGCATTTCCCCGTATCTGACATTTAATTTGAATGGTGATTGGGTTTTCACCGTAATTACCTATCTTGCTCAGCATGTAGCCTTTGTAGTCATGTGATATGCAGGAGGGTGGCCATTCGTAGGGTGCTGGTTGGTGAAGCCTTCAGTGCAGCATCAGGTGAGTACAGTATGCACGTTTTTCTCTATTTTCTTATACTTATTTATGAAAACATCTGGCCCCTATATACTGAATTATCTCTCCTAAATGTTACAGCTCTACAAAATGCAGTGCATCGCTCTTTGATTTATATCCTATTACATATTAATATAGTACATCTATTATCATGTGTCTTCTATTTCATCAAACATTTCCTGTCATCTCGCTTCTATCTCATGTAAATACCTTTCTCTATCTCTTATATCTCATGTGAATGCATCTCCTGTAATCTCTCCTATATTTTATTCATGTTACTCTCTCCTTTTGCAAATACAGAACTCCCAAAATCCTCTGATATTGGGGGGAGTGTCTCATGGGCCCCGCAATCCATGGCACAGTGTGATATTACTCTAAAAATCTGTGATTTTAGGGATGTTTAGTCACATGACTCCTAATATTCCGCAAAAATTAAGGATTTTAGGAGTAGCAATAAGCCGCAAAAAACGTGGATTATGAGTTTTGCTATTTGTTTGGGAAACTCAAATGGAGAAAATCCATGTGGCGATGCTCTTGCCGAGCTCTCTCCGAGCTTACATTTACAAGCAAATTTCTTACATTGACATGCTAATCTCTCACAATATAATGGCCACCCCCACAGCTTCGTTTGTAAATGGCGGCTTGCCATCCTGTTCCACCTCCATGTGGCGATGGCTCTTTCCGAGCTCTCTCCGAGCTTACATTTACAAGCAGATTTCTTACATTGACATGTTAATCTCTCACAATATAATGGCCACCCCCACACCTTCGTTTGTCAAGATTTACCCGCTCTTATTACACAGACATGATTTCAAGCGAGAAGATGGGTACAAACTGAGCAATCATTGGAAGGACGTTATTAACCAGTTTAGGTCATAACTGGCTGTGACGTTCCCTCTCTACCTACCTATATTAGCAGTTATTTTCAACTCTCTGAGTTACATTCACTAACACAGCCACCGTTAGCTGTATTAGTAAATGGCGGCTTGCCATGCTCTTCCACCTCCATGTAGCGATAGCTCTTTCTGAGCTCTCTCCAAGCTTACATTTACAAGCAAATTTCTTACATTGACATGCTAATCCCTCACAATACAATGGCCACCCCCATAGCTTCGTTTGTCAAGATTTACCCGATCTTAAATTTACATGCAAATTTCATCTCTAGCCCCTCCCACTGACCCTTGGGCTACACCCATACAAAACCTTTATAGCTCCTTACCTTAGCAGCGCTCCTACCATAAATTCTCAGCAGCTCTTCCGCAATATTTCTCACTTGATGACGATTGCTTGTGTTGCAATTTAAACGTCGTAATATTGTTATTATTTTTATTTCATTTTTATTATTTGATCTATCTACGCGGCTTTACCGAAAGACCCAAGAATATAAAAATATGCTATCGTTTGGTTTTGGAGTTGTTTAGACCCACAATACAAAGTGTATTTAATATATTCTTTGGGTTTTTCGGTAAAGTCACGTAAATAGGTTCAAAGAAAATGACAAAAAACTACGACGTTTCGATCACAACACAAGCGGCCGTCTTCAGGAAAAGGGAGTATAGCTTCCAAAGACAAACTATTTATAAGGGTTTGAAATGGGCATAGCCCAAATGTCAGCAGCCGATGTTAATGCAAGTGGTTGGCAGCCAACCCGACTGTGGTTGGTTTTCCACCAATCAAAGGGCAGGCAGGTAAAAATGAGCATGTTAATGAGAGATTAGCATGTTAATGGGAAAAGCAGGGCCGCAACCGAGGGTTAGTCGGTGCGCGAAGTGGTTGTGTTGGTGTGAATCCCGTGAAAGCGCAAGTTTGAAATGAGCGTAAAGCACAACTAACATCAGGTGGTAGAATGGGATCATAGCTTTTAACATCCCAATCAAATTACTACGTCAGTGCAATCTGTGCAACGTCGAGCCAAAAAAACATTTCCATTAAAAACTCCGTTTGTCTATCTACATCCACGTTGTCTCTCCAGCTTCATCTCTCTCTGTTTCTCAGAGACAGATGCGTTCCAAGCACTTCAAACACATCTCTCCAACATTTTAAGCCACTGGCTTCAAAGAAGACCGCTGCGCTTAACATTTTCATTCTGATAGCGGTGTCTTGTGGTTATAATAAATTAGCCTCTATAATCCAAACTTTTGTGGATTATCGGAGTTTTTAACTGTCCTCCCAAACATCCGCAATGTTTTTTGTGGATTTTTGGATATACGGGAACTACCACGAACCTGAGGGATACCACAAATTTTAGGAATTATGAATTGCTGGAGGACGGATTTTTTGGACATTCAACTGTACATCTCTCTTATCTCATATGACACCTCTCTCTCATATATCTCATCTGAATACATCTCTTATATGAATCCAAAATAATTTGAAATCAAAAGTTGTAACTTTATGCTGTAGCATTATATGCTGTATGTGCATATTTAAAATGTAGAATATTGCTCGTAATACTGTATACTGTAAATATAACAATGTTTACGTTATGTAATACAGTGAGGGAAAAAAGTATTTGATCACCTGCTGATTTTGTACGTTTGCCCATTGACAAAGAAATGATCAGTCTATAATTTTAATGGTAGGTTTATTTGAACAGTGAGAGACAGAATAACAACAAAATCCAGAAAAACGCATGTCAAAAATCTTATAAATTGATTTGCATTTTAATGAGGGAAATAAGTATTTGACAGAGGTTCTTTGCAAGCCATCTGGCTACCATGAGAGATTCGTTCATGAGGCTATCCACATATACAAACACAGAGACAATTTCAATCGAGAAGATGGATTCTGGCTTAGCAATCATTGGAAGGACTTGATAAACCATTTCGGGTCTTAATTGATTGTTCACGCTTACGGTGGCTTTTAGACCGCATCCATTATTTTCGTCCCCCCCCTCCTCTTTTCCGAACATAGATGGACTCGTCCACATGAATAACTTATGTGGACTCGTTCATGTGGACTCGTCCACATGAATAACTGCCAAATCGCTCACAATGGTGCTAACGTTAAAAAAACTGCCACTTTTTTCAAATTTTCTTGCTGTGTTTTTCACACCTGATGATGATTGCTTGTGGTGTAGTCTAAACGTCGTTAGAATTTTATTGTTTTAAATTTTTATTATTTTATTGTTTCCCTTCTACGTGACTTTACCGAAAGAACTAAGAATATGAATCCCTGCAGTCACGAAAGCTTTAAATCAAAACTGACAATTGTTTTAAGATTTATATATTATGCCCATGAAAATGCACAAAGATTTGACAGTTAACACTGATTCATATGCAGACAATGCACTTTGAAATATGTAAGTGTATTATTTAAATAGATTTTGATGATGTGTGACTGTGGTCTTACAAAAAGATACATATATCTACATCAGAGTACTGCATAATCATCAATAACACATCGTACAACACAGTATTGACAGTGAGAATGGAAATGTAATTATTCCAAAACATTGCGATTGTATAAAATTAAACATCTTTTGTACAGCACTTACTGCTTCAGTGTACAGCTACATACATTGCCAAACATCAACATGCATGCTACTAAATTTACCATTCTGCAGAATAAATTGAACACCTTACATCACAGCTGACCAGATGTGCTTTATTTAAAATATGCATACGCTTGATTATTATTTTCGTAACTTAAATGTTTGTGAGGCAGCTGAATATCGTGATTATGTTCGGTGCCCTTGTAAGCATCAGAAACATTTGTATGTAAATAATGCAATTTCATTATGAAAAGTCGACAGACAATCCGAATCTTTCTGTACCCATGCTTCTCTTACTGTTTACTGTTACGTCATGACACGGTTTCCCAATTAAATATAAAAAATAAGCTCCTCCTCCTCCTGCAAATCACACGAATAGATGGAATGGATATAGCAATAAGGTGAAGTGCTTTGATGTGATAAATGTTGTGTGAAGAAGTAAAAATTTGAGAATAGGTTTTTCCCCTTTCCAGATAAAAAGGGGAAAAACCTATTATCATATTTTGGTACTGGCAAAGGAGGTCCCATGATGAAGTAAAAATTTATTAGACATTTCTTCCAATGTCGGTATAGGGCTCTAGAAATAAAGTGCTGTTGCACGATATTCCATAAGAGGAAGTAAAACATACAACATGAATAGGGCAATAATATATAAATGAAGGCATGTGTGTGCATAGTGACTTCTGTTACTCCGAGACGCACTTGCAGTGATAGAGGTAAGCACCCTAATATAAAAAATTACAGTGCTGCCAGGTCAAAATACTCAAAATACTCCCCTCTAGTACCGTTTAGTGAGGCTAAGATGCTTGCAGTGAAGGACGAATATTATTTTCAGGCTCTTTCAAAGTGGTAGGCCTGTATGAAATTAAGGTGAAGGCCAGTTTCCAACCCCTCGTAGAAGGGAATGTGTGTGTGCACGTGTATAAGAGTGTGTGTGTGTCAGAGTAGTAGTTTGTGCACTGTTCTATGATCCCAGAAAAAATGGTAGCCTTACTGTCAGCATCCGTGAGTCCCAAGATGAAGAGTAGGAGAGGTATGCAGATGAGCAGTGCAGGCAGCGACAGCCTCTCCAAAAGCCCCATTTTACGCGACATCCCCACGACCACCGAAGCGTCTGTCTCGTCAGCCAGTAGTGTCAGGTGATGGCGTTTAATCTGAAACGTAAAGTGAACACGATGGGGCACAGGTGAAAAAGTGAACTGCTAGGTTGAATGGGCCAAGTTAAAATCCCCAGCCAGGGTTGACTCAGGCAGCAGCAGCAGCGGCATCACCATCAAAGACATAAGATCAGCATCATCGGCGCCATCATTTTAAATCGTATAAAAATCAACATTATTATCACCACCAACAGGATCATATTCAACAATATTATTTACAACATTGCTATCAGGAGCATCAGCAATATCGCCATTATTATAATTAACAGCATACCATTATCATCATGAGTATCATCAGTGTCATTATCACGATTATCAGTGTCGAAGTACTCATCATTAGTGGTATCATCATCATAATCAGTGATGTATGTATGGCTTAATGCGCCTAAAATTTCAGGCATGTTGGATATCGCCATCAAGTTACTGTGATAAACATGTGATCTAGTCCAGACAATTACCGTAGAGCGCATGCAGTTTTAACAAAGGTTTGCGTTGCAGGACAGAATTAAATTTAACTCTATTTTGTACTTTTTGTTATATGAAGCAATAATGCCACTATCACTGGCTACAATTTTGCAAGAAAATCACATTATTTAACTTCAGCTTAAGCGATTGGTGTTGTATATAATTGGTTAATATGATTGCTCCCCCCCCCCCCTCCTCTACATTCACCACAAGCCAATTAACCCTTTCCCATTTCGAGACAGCTGCAAGTTGCAGGGTGGGTCCTGCTCACTGCTGAATCTCGGAACGCGTAAGCGGTTCCACATACATTTTATTTTGAGAGATATAGCGCTGTTGTTATTAGAGGCAATGTACTCACCGCGACACGACCGCATTCTATGACAGCTAGCGCCCAAATGTGTGGCATACCCTCCCGCGTGGCCTTGTGGGAGCCTTGGTACCGATAAAGTTATTTTATTTTACACGTATGTCATCGGAACGGAATCGGAAGAAAAATTGATGATGTACATGACTGTCTTTCGCACCATACATAGCCAACCGTGCTAATTGGAGGTGCGGGGAAAAGACAACAAACTAAACACAAAAAGCAATTAAAGCAAATTAAAGACACCACTAAAGTAGTTCTCTGACATCATCTTCCAGAGGCACCTGAAGTGACATTACAACTGCTTTTTGCTCGAGTTTCAAATGGAAATGAATTGGTCTCATGAAAGGATATTAATAAAATAGTGGGAATATAATTTGGAGAAAGACAAAATATTTGAAAAAAGGAAAAAGTGAAACCTAATGGTGCCTTCGTCTGACCTCTATGAGCACCAGAAATAACCTTCAATACACGGCAATTTTAAAGGTGCCAGAGGAACTGTTTAAGGGGGTGTTTAAAGTTATTTTTTTACATAATCCTGCTATAAAGCACATTGGCTTCTAGGCACTGACTGGAAAGCAGTAGTTGAGATTAATAGTATCTCCTATGAGGAATGTTTGATGTGTCCTGTGGAATCACATGGCTCACTCAAACACATATAGGTACAGATAAAAACACACACAGATAAGAGAGATCCCCAATAGCCTTAACAGGCTGTTGGGGCAAGGGCTGTTCACGCGCACATACCCAGCGCCTATGTCTTCACAATATTGATTTTACAAACCACACCATTTAAGTAGGAAAACCAGTTGAGATGTTCATCAATGATGATGACTGTGAGCAGGAGTCGAACTCGGGTCGCCGGGATACAAATATACTCACACAACCCAAATATATTTACACACACACAAAATCAGACACACTGATACGCACGCACACATAGGCATAATTTACACTACCCACTGGCTTCAGGACTAACCAAAATTAGCTGGTACATCAGATCAGCCCCGGCCAGCACACTTCCCATACACAGTTTATCATAAAAACGAGGATGTGCACAGGACATGTTGTATCACATCACTGTAATCATAGATGATTATGTAATTTTTTTCATTTATTTTATTATAATATGTAGAATATATTACGCACCATCTAATTTATTGTGTTTATTGGGTGTTAGATTATTTCCGAGCTGGACATTTTATTCTGGCCTCACCAATTGCCAAAAGCACATGGTATGCCTGATGCACATGGTAGTGTGGCTACACTGGCCTTGCTAGCTTGGTATCAGCACATACTATCCGAGAGGATCCACCAGGAGGCTACGTACGTGAAGCTGGTGGCACTGCTAAGCAGATGTGGAGGTACTGCCCCTGTGAGCCTTCATGGTCTTTACGGACGCAAATAGATAAAATAAACACAGTTATAGATACGTACAGACTATTGCACACAAGTAGCTATATTCATAGATACACATAAACACACAGATAAAGACATACACACAGACATTTCACGTAACCACAGACACACACCGATATACACATGTAGAGACATACAGAAACATACATTGACACCCATATGCATATATACTGTATATACACACAGGGCTTAATTTCTCACTTGATATTTTCCAAAACACTACTAGGAACACTAGGAATAAGGATTATCAGTATGAGGTACTTCTGCTAAGTATAAGGTACAACACCTATCCATAACAATGCTATATTGTTGCATATTATATTCTCATGGAGTCATCCCTGGAGTAAGCTTCCATAAAAAACAAAAGTATAAAAGAGCAAAAAAATTGTTATGAGATTGGGACCCATTTCTAACACATCATCTTGAGTAAAATGTGATAGTTTGTACATTAGCGGTCAAAATCACGTATTGATGAATTGGCCAAAAAACACATCATGATGGTGATTTTATCCATTGCTGGTAATGGAAACATTAGCACAATTTCACAAAATAATCACAGATACATTCACCATCATGCAAATCTGGCTCCAGATGCTTAACTTGCTTTCTGTTAAATTGTCTTATTGCAGTAGCATACTTTAATAATACTTTTATGAGCAAAAATAATTGTAGTAAAGAACCTTTTTGAATAAAACCTTGTGCAAGATAAAGCTATTTTCACCGCGATTAATTTCAGCATGATTCCAGACTGAATGGCGTTGCCAAAACATAAATATTATCTCAAGATACAGCACTCACGGCAGGACAACGTAGTTTTATCTTGTAATCCAAAATCTTTACTCACAAAAAGCAGTCAGTCATCACCAAGTCTCAAGAGCCACATGATGAATTAAAATCCTGGCCATGATGTTTGGTCAATGCTTATTGAAGCTGTTTACACACTTTTATTATTACACACTTTTATTGAACTTGCGGTGTTGTCTGTTCATATTCTTTCGAATATTTGATGCATATCTTCGATCTACGAAGCCTGACGAGTTGAAATTTTCTACACAGACTCGCCTCGCCTGACAATTGAAGATTTCATTAAAAAAAACGGTCCGGGTCCCGACCATCGTGGTCCTCTTCGTGTTTTTAACTACATTTAATAATTAATAACTGTACATTTTAGCCACCCCCCCCCTTTTTGAAATCACGAATGGTTGCACCCACCTACGACGGCAAACGTCTAATCCAATGACAGCGGCTGTTGCTGGCTAGCCTATGACCAATGAAAGGAGTGCTTATATCGCCACTCGTCATCGCGCCGGAGCAGCCACTGTGATTCCCTCTTCCTTAGGGCGAGAGCAACAAGTATAAAAGAAGGTTTAAAAAAAGAATATTTTCAATGCACACACTTTTATTTGCACTGAAACGTAGACAATACGTTATTTTGACCCCGGAATTAATCAAATTTGATGTGCTCAATAAAAGTGGGTGGCTACCTTTTGATATGTATAATTTTCTTTATGCAAATTTTCTGTATTCAGGCCACCCCCTGGGTCATGTCCATGGAAAAGGTATTATAAATTTTATAGCAAATTCTGGGTACTCCTTATATTTGCAGAAGTATATTGTTATCATTACCATGGCAATACATTCCAGGAAACTCCTATCCACACATCAGTGTAACTAGTATTATCACCAACACTGTCATGATTACCATGATCATCATCATTATCCCTGAAATGTTTCCAACACATTTAGGATATCGCAGGTTATCTTTCAACACAGCATGACACGGCACAGGAGTCATCCTGAAACAGTAGAACAAAGTAAGAATCATAGGAATAGGTTTTACCCTTTTAACTGGCACAAAAACTGACACCTTTATTCAAGGCATCATGTTTGCAATAACCACAACACAAGCAGTCAAAATGCAAAAAAAAGACAACTCTGATAATAATATGCACTGTCCTTGAATTTGATTGGTCCACACACGAGACAGCTTTTCTTAGAGCCTAGTCTCCATTGGTGTTGGACCAGAAGACGCCAAAAGGCATACAACTCAAAAACAGCGCACTATCAGAGTATTGAGGGCTCGGGGTGAGCATTTACATTATGAGACCTCCTTTGCCAGTAACAAGACATAGGAATAGGTTTTACCCTTTTAACTGGCACAAAAACTGACACCTTTATTCAAGGCATCATGTTTGCAATAACCACAACACAAGCAGTCAAAATGCAAACAAAAAGACAACTCTGATAATAATATGCACTGTCCTTGAATTTGATTGGTCCACACACGAGACAGCTTTTCTTAGAGCCTAGTCTCCATTGGAGACTTGTGTTGTGGTTATTACAAACATGATGCCTTGAATAAAGGTGTCAGTTTGTGCCAGTTAAAAGGGTAAAACCTATTCCTAGCTATTCATAGCTGGATATACTGTAGTAAAATATCATTCCGACATAGCGGGACAATGTGTGAGTCATCCTGACATTGCAGGGCATACTCTGAGTCATCCCGACATAGCACAGTTGTGAGTCATCCCAGCACAGCGTAATTCCCAGCACAAATCATGGTCATAATCATCACTGCCATTCATCCATAATCATCATCACCACCATCGCTACCTTCATCAATATCACCACCACTGCAAAACCAGCAGGGCTGGGAAACCTCATCAGCAATGTATAATTCGTTGGCAGTGATGTACTTCGCACTGCTGGAGATCCACGCATGGTCCACACCTTTTCAAGGGTAATCCTC